GAGAATAATACATGGGTGCGCGGAAATACCAGATTTATTTCGTGTGTTGAAATAAATATGGTACTTCCAAGCACCCACGTATTTTTCTGTTTATCATATAAAGGACAGTCTTTGAAAAGCGATAATTTTTACAGAAAAGCGATAATTGAAAAGCGATAATATTCACATGCGAAATTATCATAAATAATCTCACATGTGAGATTATCAGTTTTATCAGTGCTCGAAATCTCTATTAAAGTAACAAACACGAATAATAATGCCATCTTGTAAACTCAAGATATGAGTTATTTAAAGAAAACAAGACACACATTATGGTTGTGATATTATTATGGTTGTGATATTTCGACTCTATTTCAGAGTTATTGTCAAACCAAACTTTGGTTTAGTAAAGCAACTACATGCAGGCAAGCGTTAGGTGATTTTTGTATATAATATAGGCCTATATAGTTTTGTCAAATCCATGACAAACTGTCAACGGTTTTAAAAGATCAAGGGTATATACATATCATTCTGAGGATCAAAAGAGTTTAAATTTAATACTCCAGTCCTCTTCATCCTGACCATATCATGCATTCTATTTAGCCACATTGGCACCATCAGTGCGGCATGTTTGATCAGCAATGTTACACGTATAATTATAATAACTGCAAATGTAACACTAAGTTAGCCTGATAACAGACCTACGTTTCGCCCGCCCTAAAATTCGCGGGTCGACGAAGGGCGAAACGTAGGTCTGATGAAAATGTTGTCAAAAGTGCATGTAAGTCGACCGCCTGGCGGTCGACAAAGCTGATTGGCTAATTCACAGGGAAATGGGTTGTGATTGGTTGGTCGCTAACATGAAAAGATTTGAAAATATCAGAATATTTTCAACGGTAAATCAACACATATAAATATGCATACAGTGTAATATTCTAAATATTTTGTGATGCCGAACGACAACTATCTCGGCGTCTAAAATTAAAACTAGAGGGGAGTAGAGCGGTACGTGTCAAATTCTTCAGCGTTGTATCTTTCCCGTTGTAATAAACAATACAATATATAATATTTTATACACGATCTAAGTTTTGTGATTAATCATAGTAAAACTCGGATACAAATATGTGCGCATTCATGATTTACATTTTGATAACATAGCACGTACAAAATATTCTATTTAGATTTTACCATTGTATGGCGATTTCAAAATGTATAAATTGTAAGAGTTGGGATGCAATTCAACAATGGCCATTGCCAAATTTCCGTAGGCAGATTTTATCGCATTTATAGAATGTGTTGAAAATGTTGTATTATTACTATAGCTGTAACTGTTTATTTACAAAGGTTTATGTATATAAAAGCAACGGGCTCCATGGGGTTACCAATATTTTAAATATTCGAATATCGACCCTTGACTAGTTTACAAACTTGCAATAAAGTCTAAAGTGAATCGACAACTTTCATTGTATTTTTAGGTATTACATGTATGTGTCAATCATCGTTGTTAATTATTTCAAAATGCACTAAGTGGGCGGAAGGCGCTTTTGACAACATTTTCATCAGACCTACGTTTCGCCCTTTCCGTCGACGAATTTTAGGGCGGGTGAAACGTAGGTCTGTTATCAGGCTATCTCCAATTCAAAACTACGTCCATATAGGTACATGTGAAAGTGTTCACATCCGAATACGATTGCTAATCCTTCTTTCTCTATGTGACCATACTTCTGTTCGACATCTGTTAGCGATCTGCTACCATACGCGATTGGTCGATAATTGTCGTCGGCTTGTTTCTGGAGAAGTACGGCACCCAGTGCCCATGGCGATGCATCTACTACGACTTTAGTTTCCGCAGTAAGATTGTAATGAGCTAATACCGGTGAAGTGGTGATGGCATTCTTCAGTGACTGGAATGCTTTCTCGTGACTGTAATCCCAGTGAAACGTGACATTCTTCTTTGTAAGCTGTCGAAGTGGGAAGGTTAGGCTGCTGTAGTCGGGTATATATCTCGAACAATAATTGGTGAGGCCTAGGAAGGATCTGACTTCCGATGCTGTGGTAGGGTGTGGAGCATTGGTTATGGCTTCGACTTTGTTGCTATCTGGTCTGATCCCTTTCTCGGACACGATATGACCAAACACGTTTATCTGCGGTACTGCGAACGAACACTTTGGTAGTTTCAGTGTGATGCCATTGGTTCTCAGGATTGTGAGGAGCTGGTCTAGCCGCTTGAGGTGTGTTTCTCTGTCTTTGGACCATAGCCAAATGTTATCAGAGATGTTGGCACAATCTGGTACCTCTTTGATGAGCTCGTGGATAATCTCATGAAAGTGTTCTCCGGATGGTGATGCTCCTATTATCAGCCTGGTGAATCTATGCGGACGGATCTTCAGGGGTTGAAAATGCTGTAATATGACGGGATTCCTCTGCCAAGGTCAGTTGAAGATAACCTTGCGACAAGTCAACCTCTGTAAAGACTTTTGCTCCCTCCATCTTTTGAAGTATCTCGTTGACTGTAGGAATTTGTCTTACAAGTGCTGTGTTAGGTATACGCATGTCTAACACTAGTTGGAGGTCCCCACTCTTCTTTGGGATGGCTATCAACGGTGATAACCAAGGCGTTGCTCCCTCAACTTTCTCGATTATCCCTTCTTCTCTCATCTCCTGCAGCTTTTTGTTTACTTTGGTTTTCATGCTGTGCGGAATTTTCCGATTTGTTTGTGCGACCGGGGTTATTGTTGGGTCAATTTCGAGCTTCACTTCACGTCCCTTGAGGTTTCGCGTTCCTTCAAATAGCTTTGGATGTTTGTTGATAATGCGACGTACATCATGATCTTGTTGAACCGGGTTGAGGGTGTTGATGTTGAGGATGATAAGTCCCAATGAGGAAGATGATTCGTATCCAAGAATACACTTAGATTTCTTCTGTGCTACATAAAACTTAGCAGTTTTGAATGTCCCTGATGCTGAGGTGATGGTTGCTTGAAATTCTCCGGCTAACTCGAGTGGTGTTGATGTTCCATATGCAAAGATTCTGGCATTGGTCTTTTGTAACTTGATACGGTTGTCGTCTTTCTGAATTTGTTGAAAAATTGGGTAGTTCAGAAGGTTAACAGAGGCTCCGGAATCAATCAGAATGTTTACTTTAGTGTGTCCAATCTGTACTTGCGTTTCTGGATGTTTACCCGAGCTTGTGTTGACAGTAAAAAGAAATTCATCGTCCGAGTCTTGAAGATAATCAGAACTTTTCTCTTGGTTGACATGTCTGACATTTCCACTGTCCTTAGATTGAGATCTGCAATATTTTGCAAAATGACCGATTTTCTTGCAGTTGTGGCAAGGTTTACCTCGAGCTGGGCAGGACTCTATTCCGTCTTTGTGCGGGAATTTACCTCCACAGTTACGACAGGTTTGGGACTTTCGACCGCTATCTGGAGCTTCTTTCTGGTATTTATTTCCTTGAAAACGCGAATCGGGCTTCTTGGGCGTCTGTATCTGGAATTTGATCCACCGGAAGTTGGAAATTTTCGATGTTGTTTTGAATTCTTTTCGTTGTAATTATAATTTACCGTTTCGTTACTTTCACTTGGGAATTTGCTGGCGTTATCGAGGCGTTTAGACTGTTCATCTGTACGTTCTAAGGTATTCCCGTAGTCGAGAATTTGTTTGAGAGCCATCGTCTCACGAAGCGCTTTCTTTCTTAACCGGGAATCGCGGGTTTTGTGAATAATTTGGGTTTTAATCTCGGCTTCCTCGCTGTGAAAATTACATTGTACTGCTTTTGTCTTCAGTCGACGGTAGTATTCGTTGAGCGTTTCGTTGGATCCTTGCTTTAGCTCTCGAAAATCGAATATAGCCATGTCTGTATTTCCTTGTGGCACGAAGTGTTGTGTGAAACAATCAATCGCTTCTTGATAAGTTGTGCCAGTGTCGGGGAGAATATCGAAAATGTCGTTGGCTGACTCGCCTACATAGGTTAACAATAAACCTCTCCTAACGGTTGAATCAAACTCACGAAGACTTATAAGCAAGTTTTCGAAACGACGAACCCATTTAGTCCATCGTTGACCCACTGTTGCTGTATCTTGGTGTGGATTAAAGGGAGGAAACGGCTGTAAACCACTGCATGGAACTTGCGATGTTGTTGTCGCGTTTGTAGCGTTTGACGTTGTTGATGATGATGCGTTTTCAGCATTGATATCTTGACCTTCGGTATCCATAATATAGATTCAGGGTTTTTCGGACCTCGTCGCCACTTTTATATCCTCCGTTATTTAACTTTTATAACATATATTTACTCTGCTATATTATACATGTATGCTTGCTCTCTGGCTTAATAGCGTCTCCTAATCTAATCTAATGTCTCGTGACCTAATCTTATATGTCAATCACTTACAGCTGACCAATCAGCATTAGGATACAACAATTGCTCACAATTCAAAAGAAACAGGCGAAATATTTCGCATTTCGCTAACAAAACGCGCTCGTGGAATCAGGGCTTGAGGGTTTTGCCTTTCCGAAAGTCAATCGCAAGCGTTTTGATTGGACAAGTTGACGCATGCACATGCAAATTCGTCTGAACCCTCTTCCTCCGCCGCGCCCTGCGGTCAGAAGAGGGGGTCTGGGACTGGACTACACCTTCGCTTGCTTAGGAACAGGTTGGAAAATTGTCGTCGCTGACCAAATTTATCGCGGACGCTTTCTTTTTGCCAGCAAAAATTGTGAAAACAACAAAAACACAGATTTCGCTACCCTGTTTCTCGTACTGCAACGGAGGAAAAGTAAAAGAAAGTTAGCAGTCGTAAATTTTAATAAACGTTAATCAAGTCCACAATTACTTGTCGCAATCGGGAAATTATCAGTCAAGAATTCTTCGCTGAAACATGGCCGAAAATGACGTTTCTTGCAAAATGTGGGTTTTTGATGGCAAATAACCTCGAGCAGGAACTTAATATTGATGGAATATTACTTGAAATTTGCAGTACATGCGTTTGTTGTCCAGGACAAAGTATAAATATTTGGTTTTTGAGTGATATTAGTGTGCACCAACGTCAACGATCATCGTCAAATTTCAGTATGTGAGTTATTTTGCTAAAATTGCTTGTTTTTCACCTTAATTTTCTCATATATACAGGTTGTGCCAATGAAATGTGATTAGGTCAGAACATGTGCTTTTCTTTGTAGTTTTTGCTAATAGAATGTAAACTCGCCTAAAAAATGAAGAAAATACTGAATTTTGGCAAATTTCATGTGCAAGTGTGATTTTATATACGAAAAAGGCGACTCAGAAAATGAGCATCGGAATAATCATTTTGCCATGTATTGTGCTATAATAGTTTTAAAATATTATTTTTAGGTTTTCAAAGTATTTAAAAAACAGATACACATAGCAATCAGATTTTTCTATGACCCTCAATTCGAAGCGTAAACTTTACATTTTAAAAGGATTTTTTTGCGCTGACACCTCTGTTTTGTTTTGCACTGAAATAATCGATATTAATAGTCTACATTGTAAAATATGTAGCAATAGAGGAAATTAAAGTATTACTGCAACATTTTTTGTCAATGAATCCAATTTTTATGGGCCTAAACAGCCGCTGCAAAATTGTCTTTCGAAGGCTTCGTTCATGTTGTTTATGTTTTTTAGATCAACCAAGTGGAAGCACGCATATCTGCTTCTCCCGCTAAAACCCAAGCAGTTTTCGCGCATGCTCAGTCAATTTTCCCACCTGTTTTGCTTAGGCCTATGCGGCTTAACTGTTTGGAGGTCAAATATGGCTAAAGAAATATAAAATGTAAACCGAAGTTCCATGTCGAATATACAATGGACTCTGTCCGCCCGCTAGGAGATATGTACTGTACAGTACAGTACAGTACAGTACAGTACAGTACAGTACAGTACAGTACAGTACAGTACAGTACAGTACAGTACAAAAGGTGGTTATACACAAACAGCGATTCTCTTTTTTAAGGCATATAGTTTGTCCTTCAGACGATCAGCGAGATAAGCCTGGACTGTCTCGCCGTTGCTCCCGAAATTGCAGAAGTAATGCAAATAGGGCCGTAGAAAAACGTTAAATTTTTAACAACGTTATAAAGAAAATATTAGGAAAATTGAGGAAAATATCTATCGTGTTTGATATTTTTCACCTCGCGAGGAAAAAGTCTAAACGTCTGCGGATGTTGTGAACTTTGTGCTGAGCTGTTTGAATCAATTAGCCAATGAGAAACCATAGTTTCTTCATGTGACTTTGAACACAATGGAGGAAAATGCAAACGATTTTGTCAATCATGTTGTTGTTGAGATGTTTTCCCAACGTGTGCGGTGAAAATGCACAGCTGAGCTCTTGGTGCCATTCCATACCAGTGACCACAGAACTTGATCCCACATTGGAGATAAGCAAAGCCATGGATGCAGTCCCTGAGGGAAAGTGTCAGAAAACGATGGCCCACCGCCTGCTTATCAAGCTTGGAAAAGACAAGCCCCAAACCCCCCTTCACCAACTCCTTCTGCAATGCTTGGTAGAAGAAGGTGTATCCCAGGAAATGAGGGATGTGAAGATTATCACCCTCACATGATCTTAGTGATTGCAATAACTACCGGTGGGATATCGCTCCTAATCACTGCTGGAGAACTGTATGCTGGAGTTGCTCTCACCAGACTTGAGAAGATGATTTCAGAAACTCTGCCCAGAAACACAATGTGGATTGCATGCTGGTCGTTCAACAATCGACGTGATATGTTCAGTTGGTCAGCTACAGGAAAAGTACAGAGAGCAAGGGAAACCACTGTTCGTAGATTTCGTGGACCTCATAAAAGTACATCAAATTCTTTCACGACTCCATGAAAGGCACCATTACCCATGATGGCAAAACGTCTGAAGCTCTTATCATCGTGAGTGGAATGAAACATGCTGATGAGGTTGCCCCAACACTGTTCCGAATCGTTTTTTACAAAATTCTCAACTTTGCCATTGGTGACTGAACGGAATGTGCCTATATATGCGCTCATGATAGAAAGCTCTATAATTTGGCACGCTTACGTGCCAAGACGCAGGTGCTTATGGAGTTAATTAGGGACCTCCACTTTGCGGATGTTGCTGCTATTGTAGCACACTCTCTGAGGAGAAACTTACACAAGCTCATAGACAAGTATTCATACAAAGCTTTTCGACTAACCATCAGTATCAAGAAGGTACAAATTCAGGAGTGTGCTGGAGCAACCCCCTAGCCAACCTCTTAATAAGAAGCAACCTTCCCATGATTCAGAAATCAGTGAAAGAATTGGCAAAGCATCGGGTGTCTTTTCAAACTTCAAACAAAAGTCTGAAAAAATCGGAATCTGCTGATCAAAACCAAAGATGCTGTTTACAACACCTGCGTTCTTAGCACGCTCCAATACAGCAGTGAAATATGAACCACTTGTGCCATGCATGAGAAGAAACTGAACATATACCGCATCCATGTTGCCTCAGGCGCATTCTTGGTATCCACTGAGAGGACAGGATTCCATAGGAACTCCGCAGTGTAAAGTCAATGCTATGTTTCCGACGGCAAGAGAACCTCGACCATCCATTCGTCTGTGATCGTTGTTGCCGCGACTGCCATGTCAACATGGCGAGGATAAGCATCGTTTTCCTTTCAAAATACTGGAGACAATGGCAGGAAAGATAACTCCATTAAATACATAAATTTTAACACTGTTAATGTGATGTTTTTATTCATCTCAGACCCTACAAAAACAGGTTTGGGTCGTCGAGACACAAATTCACCTAGCTTTGCATTTGACAAATTTGACACAAATATTTGCGTAACTAGAAAATACATGCATGCAGAAACCTTCGCCTTGCTTTTAAAAGCATTTTGTTTTCCAAACATGAAGTATTGTCATGGTAACACGAACATTTTAAGAATAGTTTTAAAATTGAAAAATCCCCCCAAAATATCACATTTAATTACAAAATGATCAATTTCCCAAACATATATATGCTAGGTATGTTATTATACGTAACGTAAGATTCAATTTAATGTAAAATTCAACCACAAACGCTTCGCAAAACGTTTCAAAATGGGCTTAAAACTGAACTGCCTTTTCTCGGTAAACATTGAGTTTGAAAATTGAAATAAACTGATTTTAAATTCTTGCATGAAAATAACTTTGCTTTCCTCTTTATTTAAATTAAATAATAAATACAATAGGTTTTTATACTGAATATATGCAGAACATTGTCAATATATGCTGTCTTATTCACTTTATATATACGCAACCATCGTATCAGTTTTTAAAGCAATTATAAAGCAAACAATATATTATATTAAAAACAAACTTACCTTCATTAACGTCGGCGACTTTGCTCCGTTCTTTTAGACGTTTTTAGACGGTTTTTGGCTCTCAAAAAGGTTTTGAAATTTGCAAAATCTTGCAAAAATACAATATATTTGCTGATTTGCGAGAAATGTTCGTTATTTCGCTGTCGTCATTTGTCATGCAACAACAAATTTTAGCTCTGTAGTACTTAACCTCTTTTGTAAAATAACACCAATTCAGTCATTGTAGACTGCAATGTGTTTCTTTTTAATAAACCTATCTATCTATCTATCTTTAAATTTGACCAATCAGTGTTCGCTATTCATGACAGTCCTCCACATATTTTGAGATGAGTGAGGATGACCACCCACTCAACACCGTTGGTGACCCACGCCCGCGGTCATTGATGAACTTTAGACTTCGCTAATGCTTTCGTTTCCTCGGGTGTAAATAGCGGAATTAGTACCCTCGCCCCGGGCTTACGGCCGGAACGGCGCTCCGCGCCGTTGACTCGGGGATAAAATTATTTCATGTTTATCAAATCAGTGCATGCAAGAAAACGTTACTGAAAGTTTTCACAATATACATGTAGCTATGTGCGAAGCTTACATCATATGATTTATTCATGTTTCAGATGTATTCATTTTTCAGCCGTTGATCCGTAATGCTTCAGCTAGATTGAACTTTTTATTTATACACACGCATATATATTTTCAATGTTATTTTTTCATGTTTTCATGATGGCTGCTCTTGCTTGCTTCATGTAAGCTTCTGCATTCTGTATATGTTACTAGAAAATACATGCATGCAGAAACCCTCGCCTCGCTGACAAAACCATTGTATTTTCCGAACATAAAGTATCTAAAGTAGTTGTCATGGTAACACGATAATTTTTTAAGAATATTCTTACAAATGAAACATCGCCTAAAAATATCACTTTTAATTACAAAATTATTAATTTCCCAACATATATATGTTAGGTATGTTATTATACGTAATATAAGCCTCAATTTAAGGTAAAATTCAACCACAAACGCTTCGCAAAACGTTTTCAAAGTCACTATAGTGTTATAAAACTAAACTGCCTTTTAAAATGGCTTTATCGATAAACTTTGAGTTTGCAAATAACTTTGCTTTCTTTTTTATTTAAAAAATTCAATATCATAAGAAACGAATCAATATTAAATATACACTGAAATTATATGCTGTTTTGTTTAGTTGTTTCATATACGCAAAGGCCGTCGGGTTTTAAATCCATTATAAAATCAATATTTAAAACAAACTTACCTTCGTTAACGTCGGCTCCCTTCTTTTAGCCGATTCTTTCGCAGTTTCTTTCTCAGAGAGCTTTTGAAATTTACAAAATCTTGCAAAAATGCGAGCAAAATGAAATATATTTGCAAGAAATTTATCAATCATCAAATCAAGAAATGTTTGCTATTTCGCTGTCGTCATGCAGTCGTTATAATCCAAACTTTAAATTGGACCAATCAGTGTTCGCTATTCGTGATAGTCCACCATATTTTTGAGATCAGTGAGGATGACCACCCACCCAACACCGTTGGTGACCCACGCCCGCGATAATTGATGAACTTTAGACTCCGCTAATGCTTTCGTTTCCCCGGGTGTAAATAGCCGGGGGGAATTAGTACCCTCGCACGGGGCTTCGCGCCGTCGGCTCGGGGAAAATTATTGTATAGACTTTTACCTCATCGTTAGGCCTGTTTCATACGTCGAATTTAATTCATTGTTAAATTCGTCAATTGGTCGACATTAAAATGATTTCGTTTCAAACGACGAATTTAATTCAGACGAATTCATTTCATGACTAGCGATCATGGATTACCCAGAAATAAAAACCACGAGACCAGAAAGAGAGAAACAGACTTTAACATAATTTATGCATTTAATTCGACACGACGATAAGACGTCGTATGAAACGAAAACGCGCTACAGACGTTGTATCCGCCTGACCATGACCGATAAAACGTACGTCTTGGACGAATTTAATTCATCAGACGAATTTAATTCATTTTATACGATGCACTACCGTCGCATTTACTTCGTTCAATTAAATTCGTTCAATTTAATTGACGATAGTGCGACGTATATATGAACAGGCCTTAGTATTAATAAAGTTTTTTTTAAACTATATCAGGTAAGTTTGTATGAGATTATCGCGATATTTCTGACAAATTTAAATAATGCAAATATCAATGGAAACGATGACGTTGTACTGATGACGTCAAGAATCGCGAATTTCGCTGTTTGCGGGAGGTGTGACCACTGTAGAATCGTATAGAGAGGTATTCAAAATAATGTTTAGGGGTGGCGTCGCCGATGAAAATCAAAGGTCGATTACTTACGCTGTTTTGTTATTTATCTGCAAAGTAACATAACCATCTGAATAGACTAAATTAAGCAAGCTAGGTGGATGGCCATTGTTTTCATAACTTAAGAATGGCGCTTTAACTTGGCTTGTCTTGCACCAGAAGCAGATAGATACTTCATCCAGACTAGAGGAATCGTCTCCTTTCGCTGAATGATTTCGAGTAGAAGGAAACTTTAAGTCAAACCCATCTGAAAAATGAATAAAATAGGCCAGTACTACAGTGTGGTGAACTAGAGTATGCGCAAAATAGTACGTTGGCGGCTCAAACAAGTGCACTATAAGTTCAACATGTGCATGCAACATGACTATTTTTGAATAACTACTAAGGCTATGATTTCGAAAAAAATAAGATACTGATAAAATCACGCACCGATTGTATTTTTGCATACCTTACTTGTATTTTAACTCGCGTGGTGCATGCTCGCTTTCGCTCAGTTTTAAAAATCACGCAATTTAATTTAGCGCAAACTAATTGAATATTTCCGCGTATTTCAAGTATATCAATTGGCTAAGAAAATCAGGCTTACAAACGTAGCCTTGGAAATTTTTTTGCGTAGTATACTAGTATTTTCCAAAAGAATGCCATTACGTTTACGTTGGAGAGTACTACTATAGGCGGCATTTGTCATATAGTGCATGTTACTAAATTTAGATAAATCAACATTTATTAAAATAATAATTTATTCATTCAATTATCCAATGAAAATTATCATATAAATACAATATATAATTAAATCTTTATTCGGCAAGAACATACTTCCATAATCACTGAAAGTGTCAACAGTATATTCAGTTTATGTGGACGTATGAAGCAATTTAAGCCGTCTGGTGATTTTCTACAAGACCTGTATTAGGCGGTCAACCTGTATTTAATTTAGCGGTCACTTGCGAAATCCCCGAGCAGGCATTAAAATAGCGTGTCCTTGTACACACTTTGTGTCCTTGTAAAGGGCGAATGCGCCCTTGTAAATTGAAAAGTGTGTACTTGAAAATATATTAAACAGAAAATATATTAATGTAATCCACGCAAAATGGCAACATATTTTCCAAATTCTGTTCACCGAACTCTGAAATGCCATTTCAGAGACCCCCTTAAAAGCTCGCGTCTTCGACGCTAAACTTGTGGCTTCGCCAATCGTTCTCGTGAGTCTGCGCATTTATACCAAAAATACGCCTCTGAAGGCAAAGTGTGTCCTTGTAAAAATTCCGTATTTTAATGCCTGTCCCCGAGGGTGACCGCTAAATACAGGTTAGACTGTATAACAAAGTATATGTCACGAATTTTCCCAGTTCTCGATTTCCAGCCGTGAAGTGAGAAATGTCATTATCTCATTCGGCTGAGGGCATGATATCGTGAGACGGGAGAGGAGCCCAGACAGTGCAAAATGACGGCACAATCGATACTACAAATTACAAAACGTTAAAAGTACTTAGGAAGGAAGAAATTGTAAAACTTTTTCCCTTTGGTATGATAGAGATAGAACGTATTTTGTTTACTCACCATCTGGGCAGTGGTAATATGGATAAGTCTTTGTCTCTCTACAATTTTTATTTGGACAAACAACAACCGCGCAACCAAGCTAAAAAAATATCAATGGAAGTTTTCTTGAAAAGATTCAGAAAACAACAAAATATGGGTGCATGTGGTAGGTGTATGAAAAGATGAAATTTGTAAATGGTTATAGTACTTCGTCATGTACAAAAATAATGTTGTCTGGCCTCTTGTTTTGCGCTTTCCGAAAGTCTTGCAACATGCCGTGTACATGGGTGAACGCTATAGCTATCCTGCACGGAAAACCATATTGATAATTGTTTTATAAAATAACTATACAGTGAAACACGTTAACTTTATTAAAACGTTAACTTTATTTAAACGGTAAAATTTATTAATCATATAACTTTATTAACGTTTTTGTTAACTTGCCTCTCGTTTAATACACTGTTCATAACTTCACATGTTAAAATGTTTACATTGTCCGATATTTTTAAAAGCTTGCGCGAATTAGGCATTTAAATTTCCCGTGCAGGATTGTCTGTTCCTTCACGGCTATTGACCAATCAAATTGCGTGTTTCACTGTAGTAATATAGGAAGGTTTTTTCGCACTTGCAAATTAAAGGAAAAATACACATAAAAAATTAGTCGAGAACAATACGGTTATATAGGGTACGAGATGGAGGACTGCAGCCATGCAGTCCGGCAGGTTCTACTTAAAAATCGGGCAATGTTCTAGGCTGCCCGCTTCGGTATAATGTATTTTGTCATGATATTAATGTTATCATAATGAGATATTAATATTAACGTTTAGTCAGAGAAACGAAATGACAGATTAATAATCGTTTTATTAAATATAAATTGCATGCAATAAAGTGAGGAATGAAATCTCAGAAATACTCGTAAATAGTTCTATCTTATTCAACGTTTTAAGGGACCGTCCATTTATTAACACAGGATGGGGGACTGACATGGAAATGAGGAGGGTATTATTTTTTAAGAACAATTTGGGGGGTTATTTTTTTTGGTAGGGGGGATTTTTATGACGTGTGAGGGAAGGGGGCAGCTATATATTTTTTTCTCGTTGGAATGTGGAATGCCGATGTACAATTTATCATAGCTTTCTCCACTTCTAACCACACCCACCCCCCTCTTTATAACTGAGATATTCCGTGTTTCCATATCAAGTTCATAAAAAATCCGACTGTCAACCATTAACATCTTGAATTTACGGAATTCTTTATATACGTACCCCAGGAAACATATCACTTCCATAATAGGTTACTCCTGCAACGGCTGTAAAATCGTTAGGATGATGAGTCTTTGTACTACTGCTCATTTCACATTCGTATACATCACTGGATTCCTGGCGTGTGTTATAGGATTGGCAGTCTGCAGTTTGAAGACATGCAAAACCACAGTCTAACGGTGAATATTCGTGGACTACTTCAATAACATGATTTTGCAGGGCATAACCTATGAGTAATAATGGAAATAATATTAAAGAATTTTGTGGCTTTCGTTCACATGCATAGCATATTAATTATTAAGGTACATGCATTCTATAGTTTTAATTCATCCCAGCTTTGCACCTTTCGCAGTTTTGGGGTGAAGTTGTATGACTATAAAATGTGAAAACATTCCAATGTATTGAAATGAGGTTAGCTACTAAAGAAATTTGAATTATACAAGTTCCTGTTTAAAAAATTTTTTGCATGTTCAAATAACCTTCCGCGATAAGTTGCACCTCAGCTTTATGTGAAAATTGTTCTTATTGCATATACTGTCACATTATGCGGTACTGCAATTTGTGACACAACCGTTGCATGTTAACGATAGCATTATAAGTTTCATATGTATCCCCTATGAACTTCGAAGCAAACTTGCACGGTGCAAGTTGCACCATGTGTATACTGTACGTACTGATTACAAATTTACTTACCTGAGTCAACAGTTTCAAAAGACGTTGCTCTGATGTGGCTGGCTCGATAAGGCTCATATGCTATGAAAATCTTGAAACATAGCAGAATAAAGTAAAGAATCGTGAACATTTTTCCCCCCATTATTCATCAGCCCTTTTCAATTGTGCTTCATACATGCACTTGTGCTTCATACATGTTAGACGCTGAGATTTTTTGTAACGTTGCGTGCTTTGCAGGTGGCATTTTTCTTCTGATAAATAAACACATGTACCGCATGCATGCTTGTAGACTTTACAAATGTAACTTAACACGCCTTAAGGAGGCTCGATGCAGTTTTCAAAACTTCAGGTGTATAATAGTTTGACAGTTTTAAACGTCGTGTATAGGTTTATGCCGCAGATATCAGGATTTTCATTTATTTTGGTGTTTCTTCTTTCAATTTATGTCAGTTTTGGTAACACAGGTAGTTACTATGGCAACACATGCGTACGAAATTCACTCTAAAATTGCCTATTGCTTTGTGTATAGTTGGGAAAAATCTCCTGGTAAGTGCATTTACATGTGGCATTTGTCTTTTGATAAAGTGTCTGTCCCTGATATATGAGTATGCCCTTTTTCATACAGGCGACTTAAGGTTATACAGAACACCTTTGAGTGTTAAAGTATATTGAAATCATGCCGGCATGCAAGATTATGAACGGCTGTATTGGCCGGGAGAGCATGCAACTTGTATATAATTAGACAGTGGGCCGTACCACAAAATTCTGTCGTTTCGTGACCCACAACGAGGGTGGGCATGATATTGGTATCAAATTGTAGATAAAATTATGGAGAGTATTCTATCTCTTTTCACACGCGAGATTCTGGTACGTTAGTTAGCAATTGCAATATATTTACTGTCTATTTACAAACTTGAAATATGCGTGAATCGGGTATATATCCCCGGCGATTGAGTGTGATAATTGCCGTTAGCCTGCGCAGCAGGCGGTATTTCTACAGGCAGCGAAAATTAGGGAGGCAAAAGGGGAGTACCGGCTGCCATGCAGGCTACTTCTGGCGAAGAAAACGTTTCAAGTGAAGAGTCTGATGACAATACTCAAGAGAAAGTGTGTATGATGTGCGTTAATCCACCGGCAAATCCCAAGATTGTACCATTTTCGGCCAGGAGATGGAATACATTCTTAAAATATGTTCCAAAATGGAAATCTTTAGATGGAGATCAAGCCGAAGTTGCGAATAAGTTTATTGATAAACATGCAGAATTCAACATCGATAACGTCGTTGATGCAAATGCAATTCCAATTCCACTACATAGTGGATATCATCAGATGTGTTACACACGGTTTACCGACTCGCAACGTGTTGGAAGAGTGATAAAAAGCATGCAAAAATTAGCTACCAAAGGTAGGTTTATTAAAGTTATGTCTACTATTAGACATGACAATGAGACAAGGTTTAATGCAATAGAGTGAAACGTTTTATGAATTTTGTCTTATTTGTGATTAAAGTTGTTTACATTAGCACGAGTGACTTTATTGAAAGGATAGAAATACACATTGCTGTGACAAAGGCGATAAGTTAAGACCATTTCGCTTTGTCAATGTTTAGCCCCAGAGGAGGGGGGCCGGGCGTACCCAGGGGATTTGACTTGGTTTGCTTTCCGGTGGGTGGGGATAATAAGAAATTTGACGTTTTCTTATGACCCCAGGGTGGGGGAATTTGACGTGGTCGCTCAATTGCAATTCATAATCTTTATGATATAAATCTATTGTAGAGGTTTTACAAAGCACTGAACATTGCAAATTTACTTCCTGGAGAAGGGGCATTTGACACAACAGATTGTCCCCTGGGCAGGGAAATTGAGACGAGAATAAGGCAAAATGTCAAATTCCCTGGGTATGCCCGCCCCCCTTCCCCTGGGGCTAAACATTGACAAGTGCATTAGGCCACTCGAATTTAGACTTAATACCAGTTTTTGAGATTATTCAAATTTATGGTGACTGTGATTTGAATTTTGAAACCCTTTGCTGCTAATGATAGATTGAGCCAATAAATTTTAATTTAATTACCATGTATTTTGAGAGTCATTATCAGTAATTATTGTATGAATGCGGCGGAAAATTTCCCGTGTTGACATTGAGTTATATCAACACGGCTCTTAGCCAATCAGCGTTCAGAATTTACAAATGCTATATTATAACAGTAATTATTGCATGAATGGAATACCAGCTTTTGTGATCACCAGTTTAATAATACCAGCCAACCCTTCAATCATTGTTATTGATGTATTGTTGTTATTCAAATTCATGGTAATTATGATTCGAAATAGTAAAGATTGAACCAATCTAATCTTATTTTGGCAAAGTACTTTAATCATATTTATTTACCATACATGAATTCAAATATTAATTATGGATTGATCTTTACAGGCAGTTTATTTTACTAGCAGATTAATGTTCAATTCACCAAAAATTAAAATTATGTATCCTTTAATTCTTTATGCAACATGTAGCTTGACCATTTAACGATTAAAACTTTTATATTATGCCACATCCGGAGTTTTTTTTCTGTTGAATTGCAGCATCATACACTGATCCTCTAAACTGTGAACAGGTGCAAGATGACAATCTTAAACCAGAGAAGATACGGGCGCTACGTTCCAGCATTGACCGACCTACAGTGCAGTCTAGATCACAGCATGTGTTACCGAACATATGCGTTCTTTGTCAGAAAGAAAAGACGATCACATGCCGAATCACTCGTAAAAGGAAAAAGGAACATCTTGTGAAATGTTCTACTATAGATGCCGTTAATTTGAAGCAAGCAGCAGAGGACAACAAAAATGAAACCCTGCTCATGCAGATCAAGGATAAGGATTGTGTGGCTATTGAGGTAAGGTATCACAATTCTTGCTACAAAGATTACACCCGCTACCTTACCAAACCACAATCTGATGATACAAGCAAGAATGATACATCATATTCAGTGGCATTTGAAGTATTTTGTGAGAAGGTGAAATCCAGCATCATTGAAAACAAAGATATAATGAGACTGAAAACACTCAATGACATGTTCATCAAACAGGTTAAATTAACACATGGAAAAGAAGCAGATTCCTACAAAACTGGCAATCTGAAGACGCGTTTAATGAAGAAATTTCCTCAATTGTGTTCCATTACCCCACGCATGAGATCGCAAAGCGAAATAGTATATGTTAATGACATTTCGACAGCTGCACTTGTAGAGGAGAAGGAATTGCTTCAAGATGCAATGCAAATCACTGCAGACAGAGAGGAAGATTCGACGAATGAAATCGTCAAAGCCCCAACACCGTCCAAACAGAGTAATATCTTCGATGCCCAAACAAACAAACTTAAAGACAGCTACATGACAGCATATGAGTTAAGAAATATCATAAATGATGTAAAACCAACCATGCCCTGGCCTCCAACTTCAGAACACCTGAATAAAAAAACAGCAGAAACATTAGTTCCATGCAGCCTCTACAACTTCATCGCATGGACAGTTGGAGCATCAGAAGAGCCAGATTTTGAGAAATTTGTTCAAGTAACTCCATCAACTCATAAGAAACTTCTGTCTATTTCACAAGACATCATTTCCCTTGCCTCAAAAGGACGGAAGTTGATGCCAAAACACATGTCACTAGCCATGGCTATTCGTCACCTCTCAGGATCTGCACAGTTGATCGGCTTGTTGAACGGTTTTGGCCATTGTGTTTCACACTCTGTTACATTGAACCATGACACTGCACTAGCTAACCAGGAAGTCAGACGTGGGGTTGATGCGCTTCCTTTGTCTATACAGCCCAGGATACCAACTATCATTGTTTGGGACAATAACGACTTTGGTGAGGAAACCTTGTCGGGTCATGGAACGACTCACAACACAAATGGGATAGTTATTCAGCATGGCAACACCACTGCATCGACAACTGATCCTCCAAATGCATCGACAACTGATCCTCCAAATGCATCGACAACTGATCTTCCAAATGCATCGACAACTGATCCTCCAAATGCATCGACAACTGATATTCCAAATGCATCGACAACTGATCCTCCAAATGCATCGACAACTGATCCTCCAAATGCATCAACAACTGATCCTCCAAATACATCGACAACTGATGTCCTAGAGAAGAGAACACGGAAGAGGTCAATGGAACCACCACTAGCAAATCTTGCCACATATTATGGGGGGAAAAACGAAGGTCCTGCACCATTTGCAGCAGGGATTTCATTGGAGCAGTCAACATATGCACCGCTACTAAAGAATCCTGAGAAGCTGGACCTAGCATATCATGTCACAAAGTTCAACGTTGATAGATTTCTACCGTCATGGACTGGTTACAATCAGCTACTCGCTCAAGTTGAAGTGCCACCAAGATCTGTCATAGGGTATTTGCCAGTGATAGATGGGAGTCCCACAGACATGAGTACAGTATTAACAATACTACAGAAGAGCATCCAAATTGCTAATAAGTTAGAACTAGAGGCAATTGTCATTGTAATGGATCAAGCCATTTATTCCAAAGCACAGCTGATTAGGTGGAAAAATGCGTAGTTCATGAAGAAACTGGTCATCCGCCTTGGGGCATTCCATACAGCCATGTCATTCCTGGGATGTATTGACAAACGTTTTGGAGATGCTGGCCTACAAGACGTACTGATTGAGTCGGAGGTCGTCGCCATAGACTCAATGAACGGTGTCATTTCTGGCAAACATTACAATAGAGCAGTCAGGTCAAATAAGCTGATGTCTGATGCACTACACCGAATGATGCTACAGGCTTTTCTACATTCCCTTACGGAAGAAGCAGCTAACAAAGTGGAGCAAGTGATGGCAGACTTACAACAAGCATTTCCAAGTCCTCAGTACTTTGAGATTTTGAAAAGTGATAGATTTGAAGAGTTTGTGGCATCCTTTGACCAGTTCATACAGGCAGGTAACAGCAAGCAGACCTTCAGATTCTGGAACTCGTATTTGGACATGGTAGAGGTTCTGTTGCTCTTCCTGAGAGGCACGCGAGAGGGAAACTGGAATCTGCACTTGGCAAGTGTCAGACGTATGCTGCCGTGGATATTTGCATATGACAATATTAACTACAGCCGATATCTTCCAGTGTATTGGCTGGAAATGAGAGATCTTCTAACCACTCATCCAGCAGTTCATCAGCAATGTATGGAAGGCCACTTCACTGTGCAAAGAAGCGAGAATGCATTCGCTCAAATAGCTTGTGATCAGACAATTGAACAGACCGCCAATCGCGATTCCAAGACAAAAGGAGGGATGACAGGTTTTACAACAAGCAAAGGAAGTGTGAACAGATGGATATGGACACACCATGCAAGGGGATCAATATTGTAGGGAGTGTGAGGACATGGCTGGCAAGAGAGAAAGAGGTTCCATCAGAACAGATATCCTTCCAAGCCAGATGAAGCGGGACAAGGCAGATGTTGACAAAATTGTGGAAACAACAAACAGTATGATCAATCCCTTCGAATATGAGGAAGAAGAATTGCTGCACATCACATCTGGTACAGTAGCTACTGAAGAAGTTGAAAAAGATTTACAGTCTGCCTATGATAGAGGAGAAGCTGCATTCATTGCTATTTGTAAAGAACGTCTTCAAACACGGGAAGTGGACTCGCTCACAAGCATGAAGAAACTGAAGCTGAAGACGTTTACCAGTATGTCCAAAACTACAAAGAGTAAAGTCCATGGAAAGGAGGTCTCGCTAAAGGCAGACAGAAATCTTCTAGCAAGACTAGTCGTTATTGGACGCATCCGCAAGGTGGACCTGCAAGAACTGTTATCATCTCCTTGGGACCAGTATCTTTAGCATTGTGTACACCACTTGGATGTCTTGTTAAAACCAACAAGGCTAAGATGCTACATAGTCTGGAAAGTCAACCGGAAAAAGCGATCGTAGAAATTCCACGAGGGGGTATCTATGTAGTGGATGCAATGGCAACGATCCAGAAGGTGGATGTAAAGAAACTCCCAGGTGAAAGAACTTTCCTTAACCTTGCACATGTGCTACTGAGACGCATAGTTAATCTGGCAAGAGGGAATGGATCGAATGAAATTCACTTCGTTGCAGACACCTACAGAGACCAGTCGATAAAAAATGCAGAAAGGGCTAAAAGGGCTGTTGGGGGTTCGCAGGTGATACGCGTCTATGGGCAGGCAATTCCACTGCAATGGAAGAAGTTTCTCTCGTGTGGTAAAAACAAGGAAGCGCTGCTCCAGTACTTGTATGACACATGGAAGACAGTGAAGATGTGCGACGTCCATGGTGTAAAGGTCTATTATGCCCATGGAAGCAAGTGTGATATATTCTATGCCATACCCGGTAACACAGCAGATCAGATTGTTGAAGTCCATGAAGTACTGGAATTGAATTCCACACAAGAAGAAGCCGATACAAGGTTGTATCTTCATGCAGCTTATGCAGCCAAAACCTGCTCAGATGTCATCATAGTGAGTCCTGACACTGATGTTCTTGTTATCGGGGTATCGTTGCAACCACTGATTGCTGCCCATCTGTATTTTCATACTGGAAAGGGAGCTGATCTTCGAACAATTGATATCAAAGCCATTCAAGAAAGCATTGGTGATGACGTCAGGCAGTCTTTGATAGGGCTGCATTGTTTCACCGGGTGTGATATTGTGAGTGCCTTCTACGGAAGAGGAAAGACGAAAGCCTTCAACTTACTCCTCAATGACAAGAACTTGTGCTCTGCATTCAAAGATCTTGGAGAACGATTTGATCTTCTGCCAGAGATGATAGTGCTCCTGGAGAAGTTTGTGTGCAAATTGTATGGGCAACATGATGTTGAACAGGTCAACGTAGCCAGGTACAACATGTTCCGCTTAGCACGAAAGTCCGAAAATGCCATGCCACCCAACCAAGATGCACTGACGCAGCACATCAAGAGAGCAAATTACCAAGCAGGTAATTTAATCATGGTGAAGCTGAAATGAGAACTTTCATATTAATTTCGCATGTGTGAAATAGTAATTACGTTGTTGTGAATGCTGCTTTGCACGTGTAGAATATAGGCATACTTGTATGAAACAACTTCAAGAAATCTTTCATATAATTTTTACAGGTATCTTCAAGCGAAGCTTGCAGGCAACACCAGATGTACCCTCTCCCCAACACCATGGCTGGAAGATAGAAGACGGCAATCTTGTGGTAGACTGGATGACTCTGCCTCCTGCTCCAGATAGTGTTATGGAACTTGCCCACTGCACTAGTAGTTTCAAGAAAAGTAGCCGCAGCGATGCGAGTAAATGTACTTGCCTAGTGAACAATGTACCCTGCACAGATTTGTGCAATTGTGCTAGAAAGACCTGTAGTAACATTGCAGGGCAAGCCAGTTTTGAAGATGACGAGGAAGATGATGATGATGATCATGAGGCGGCGGAGTTTGACATCGAAGAGGACTAACTAAAGAAACTCTTAAAAACTACAAACTTTGTTTGGGGGGACGGCCGTCCACTAATCTTATGTTTTCATACGCTTGTATTCTGAAAGCTCACTTGCACTCAAAGAGCGTAGCTGGAGGGTTAGTGTCGTACCATACTATGCGAGTACTCACCCTCAGGGCCGCCGAGAGGGGACTGTGGGGCAACTTGCCCCGGGCCCCCAACGTAAACCGGGCCCCTTAATTGCGAGAGAGCCAAATGGGGAGCCCCCAAGCTCAGGCTGTAGAGCAAAATATGTTATAATGTCGTTTTCTGACCATCAGAATTCTGTGAAATCTTGCCCAAAGTACAGGAAATGGTATTTCAGAGACTCTGAATTTAAAATTTCCCCGGGGAGCATGCTCTCCGACTCCCCACTGTAGAGAATTTGCGTCTATGCCGCTCGAGGCGTGCTTTCGGCACTCGTACTAGGCAACTTTTACAAACTATTACGTCATAGCGGCCTCGGCGAAAATTTTGCCCCGGGCCCTGGAATTCTCTTGGCTGCCATGCTCACCCTCCAGCTATTCAAAGGAACTCAAAGGAAGCTCATCTTGAACCTCCACTCTTTGAGTTTGAGTGCAAGTAAGCTTTTAAAATATAGGCGATAATTGAATTTTTGAGATTTAAGAAAGCTTGTCATTCCACCCATATTAATCCGAACATCTTCAAACTTAGTAAACATATCAATTTTGATGTGCTCTTTCTTGTGATATGCTTCATTGTTGATTTATCATATGCTTATTGCATTTTTATAAAAATTCGGACCCAGTCCCTTCCTCGATTCCAATGTTCAATAATTGGGCTGGTGGTTTGTGCTAATGTGCAACATATGGACTTGTGAAAAAATATATGTTGCTCACAGCCAGGGGCGCACATTAGGGGGGTGTGGGGGGGTGTGACACCCCCCATGTTTTGTGAAATATATCTAAAAAGTCGGTCCCGAATCCTGTATGGGACGAAAAAAAGTCGGTCCGGCTAAAATCTGAAAGACATCATTTTGTGTCGAAAAAAGAAATAGGTGGACATTTTGGAAATGGAATCTAACAAAATTAGGCGACTTTTTGTGGTTGTAACTTTTCTTCCAACCTCATCCTAAAATACGTGAAATAGCGTTCTAATGAATCTAGAAATTCAAAATTTTTCTCGCGCCTTCGGCGCTCGCACTCAAAATCCATAAAAAATTTTGGCTCCCCGAACGTTTAGAGCAGAAGTTCTGAAAAACTAAACGTTTATTTAAACTCTTGGAATACTATCCCTGTCTATGAGTCCATCCGCAATTTTGGAGGAGTCTACGTTCTAATAAATCGAAGCGAGGTTACCGAGGTATGTGGCAGCGTATAGCATTTATACACATAGATAGCCGATTACATCCGCATCGAGTGAACACGCAGCTTTTCGAGTTCGAAGCTTAAATTAATTAAGACTGCCATTCGTTCAGTGATGAAAGAAAGAAGGCTAAGGGATCTAATCACTCTTGGATGTGAAAAGGATCTCACGGATACAATATAATGGACCCAGACACTGTTATTGATCGTTGGGCCGAGCTGCCAAAACAGAACGCCTTATTTGTGTGAAGTAATTCCGATTGTCATTTTTCGATCAAATAAGCTGTGCAGGTGAACTATTTAAAAACTAATTTGACTGCCTGAAATCTATTGCTAATTGCTATAACTTTCTAAACAATTTGAGTTGTCAGATATTTAATACTCTTAGTTGAATATCATGTGGGCACGCACTTTAGATTTATTTTGAACCATTATTGTCTATAGTTGAGCTCTTGACTTTAATAATGTACTATTCTTTAATAATACCGTGGGCTTGTGGCTAATATACTGGCTATAAATTCAAATTAGAACAACAGGTTAATTTCTAACGGTCTACTTTTTGACACCCCTGTATACTATATTTTTACATAGTTACTCGACTTTGTGCAATAACCACAGGGCCGTAGCATGTCATGCAGACCTTTATCATTTAATCTGTGACAAACTGCAAAGAATGAAGGTATTACCATGGATAATAAAGTACATGTTATTTTACAATCCATGGTATTACTCACACTTTCCTGCAACTTATTCAACATATGATAGTTAATTAAATACGCCTTCGGCCATTTAGTACTACTAAATTGAAAATTTCGACATACTAAAACGCTTTTTTCTGTCTATCAGAATTCTGTTAAATCTTCCACAAAGTCCAGGAAATGGCATTACAGAGACTCTAAATTTAAAAATTTCCTCGAGCCTCGGCCATCGCTTTCAGCCCCCCCCCCCCCAAATCGAAAAGAGTTTCCTACGGCCCTGTACCATACGTCCAACTCTTAAATTTTATATTAATTGTATTTATAACAAGACTGTGACATTAATTAAACCGAACTTTCACCGGTTCACGAGTACTGTGCACACCTTAAAATAGTTGGCTTTTCTTATCAAACACAAATACTACAAAAGTCGGTCCCGGAAAATAGGACACCCCCCCAAATTTTTTTT